TGCATAATGAACAGATAAGCCATCAAAGTAAATGTAAGCTTCTAAAATATGATTTATTCTTAGGAGTGTAGAATAATGTTACAGAAAGAACACAGCTTAATTTAAAGTGAAGACCTGGAAATGGATCTTGGTTCTGATCTTCACTTGCTGAGTCATACAAATACCTTCTTGTAATAAAGAACCCAGGACATAAGAGAACCTCTGCTGCATCATCCTATACTCGGTGAGTCCCTGGTCTTCTGATCAAGACTGAGACCACTGAGGAAAGTGATCATTGATGTGTGGTGTGCCTAACCAGAGTCACCAGGAGCAAAAATCTCCCAGGCTTTCACAGAAGTCAAGCAATGGCCGTGACTCATCCCAACAGCTGACACTGACAGAAGAACTAAGAAGTGCTATAGCTGGTCTCAAGGTATTCCTGAGGGGACGTAACTGACCTTGATAGATAACAAAAATTGATTGTGTTTAAAACAAGTCTCATCTTAACTTGGTCTTGAACATCCTGCAGAAAATGTACAACTACTAGAGGTATATAAAACAACGCTAAAGTAATATGTTATAAAAGAAACTCAAATCACTAATACCTTTTAACAATTGACAGATGCTCTGGTATCTGACTACTGTCACAGACTAATGGACTGCACAGGGTTTCAGTTGCAGAATGCAGGGACTTCTTTGGACTGCACTTAAATAAAAGATCTACAGAGCTCTCCAACACAGCTCCTTCATCTTCAACTCATCAATCATCCTGAGCAACAACAAAACAAAAAAGAGGGATATATTGGGAGCCACTGAAGATGGAGATTGGTCACATGTGTGGGGCTAAAGCAAGGCCAGCCCAGAAAAAACAGAGACCCCACAACAAGTAAACCAAGTTGTTACAGCACCAAGGCAAGGGGACCAGGCCTTCCAAGCAATGGGTTGCTAGGTAGAGGGGCTGAAACTGACATCGTCTTTCCCAGTTTATAAATAAAGGTGCAACAGTGGTTGAGCAGTTCCTTTCCTCCCATCAGGTTCCTCACCTGACCCCAGCTTTGTCTTTATTTTTCTTTCCTCTCGCAGGTCCTTAACCCCCAAAACCTCAGAAGCTGCACTGGGTTGCAGCAAGCTAGCACCTATGAAATATTTAGAACACTGCTTGGCACATAGTAACCTGGTACTGTGGTATGAACTCCAGCTTTAATGTGTGAAGCACTCTATTACTGAGCTAAATCCTCAGAAATATCTGGATTGTTGATATTAGTGTATCTCTGGATATTAGAAATTACCAATTTACACTATACATGGCAGAATGTTAGATGATAACACAGGGCTATAAATGGTAAGAACAACAAAGAGGAAGCAGGCATCTATGGATTAAAAGTGACAAGGAACATTTCAGTCCTTTGAAGGGTGTAGACATTATTGTGATCCTTTTTCTTGTTTTGAGATAGGGTTTCATTGTGTAACTCAGGCTGGCCTTGGACTCAGTACACAGCCCATGGTGGCCATGAACTCGCAGCTATTCTCCTGCCTCAGTCTCCTGAGTGCTGGGATTACAGGTGTGCACCACCATACTGGCATCCTGATTTGAATAAACAAAATGACATAATAGGGAAATAATATACACTAACTTGGTATAGGGTAAAGGTTATTTTATTGTATAATAGTACTATAATTATGCTTAAGAAGCTTTTTTATCTTTCAGCAATACATTTAGAAAATAATAATTTTTTTACCTTAATTTTTTCAAACCCATTTTATTTCAAAGAGAAAAAACAAAGAAAAAGAAAAATTTCAAAACATATCAATCAGGGGGCAACAGTAGTACATAGATTACACACTGTCATCCCCAAATCACCCACTCAGAGCACAAGATATCTGTGTTCAATTGTTCGAACAATACCAGCACAAATCTTTCTCTTCGGTGAGCTCAGAGAAATGAGTAATATAGCTATCTTAACTTTTTTTTTTTTTTTTGGTACCAGGGATTGAACTCATGACCTCATGCTTGCCAGGCAGGTACCATGCCACTGAGCTATATTCCTAGCCCCTTCTTAACTATTTTTTATATACCTATATATAAATCTACATATACATATGTTGTTTCTTTCAGCTTCTCACACTAGTGAGGCAATACAATATTTACATATGTGTGTGATTTGAAATATTTACTTCTGAAACAACCTGATGTCTGGGATTTGTGTCAAAATAATCACAAGAATAAAGAAAACAAGACTGACTGTGATATAACTAGTTACATGGAGGCTTATTACATGCTTTTTTTCACTATACACTTCTATTTTTGTGTATTGGTGAAATTTTCCATAAAAAAGTGAAGGACCCAGCACTTGGGAGGCTGAGGCAGGAGGATCATTACAAGTTTGAGACCAGCCTGTGCTACAAAGTAAGCTCAAAGCTGAACTTCATAGTGAGACCCTGTCTCAAAAAGATACACACAAAAAAATGTGAAAGAAAGGGAAAGGAGAGGAGAAGGGGAAAAGGGAAAAGAAAAAAAAAAGAGAAAGAAAGAAGGAAAACATGGAAACGAAGCTTTTGTAAATAGGGAGGGGAATGTGGCAAGGTTGAAGGGAGGGTAGAAGAATGGGGGAAAAAACTCAAGTTATATCATGTACAGGTGCAAATTCTCTATGATGAATGTGACAGTTATGTACATCTAAAATGTATCAATAAAATCGGATAAAAAATAAAAGGAAGGGCCAGATGAAGTCAGAGAGTAGTCAAAGAGCCAAGCAGGAAGGGAGCCTCGTGTGGCTAACAAAGAAAGGGGAGAGAACATGGCATGTGGGTATGCAAAGGAGGGGTAAGTTCCTGGATTTCCAGGAATTCAGGGAACTGAGGGATGTGTTGCTGGATAGGCAGTCACTAAGGATGATGGCAGCGAGTGAAGTCCTGGGTAGAGGTGAGCTGGTGCAAAGTGGGAAATGGAGCAATACGTGGCAGGTGAGCAAATGAAAGCACAAGGGAGGAAGGTAATGCCCCAGAGCATCCCAAGGAACAAGGCATCGCCAACCCTATCACCCAGTGCAAGGGAAGACAGAGTTCTTGACAGAACATGGTGACAAGAGTGGTGTCCCCAAATGGAGGGGTTTCAAGATAACGTATGTACGATCAGCTAAAAAGTACATGCCACCTGGGTTAGTGATGCATGAGGGAGGCTGAGGCAGAAGGACAGCTGTGAGTTTGAGGCCAGCCTGGGCTACCTAGTGAGTTCAAAGCCAGCCTGAACCACATAGTGAGACCCTGCTTCAAAAAAGAAAAAAAGTACATTGCTAAGTTTCCTAAAGTAGCTGTACTATGTTGTAGTTACTAGCAATGTGCAAGCGTTTTAGTTATTTCCTACCCCTGGTGACAATTAGTATTCCTAACTTTCTAGATTTTAGCCATTCTAGTCAGCATACAATGGCTCACTGTGGTCTTAACTTGTATTTTCCTGATGATTAAAGATGTTAACCACTGACGCTAATTTTGATTTTATGTGTATATAAGCTAGTTGTAACAAAATACACTAGTCTCTACAGACTACCTTGATTAATGATGTTTATTTCAACACTACATTATTTTACAGAAGGAGAGTATATAATTCTAACACCCCCCCACACACACACACAGAGGCATGCACAAAGACCAATTTATGGAACCAGTCAAACTTCAGGTATGTTGTCAGGCCCAAGGCTTCTTTCATTCTTGTTAAGAGGAGTGCTAATCTCTTTCATACAACACAAACTTCAGGTAAAATGTCACTTGGGTACAATATATACATTATCAACAATTTAGCACTGACTAGAAAATAAGCTCCAAGAGGCCTGTTGGTGTTACAATGTTGCCACTTCTATTATCACAGTCTGGTTATGTTACAGCAAATAAAAAAGATACCATACGAAATGGTACTGTTTTTGATCCACGAAAGTCAAACTTCAATTTAGTTCTCATGCACACCTTTGAAACTAATGTAGGATGTATGGAAACGGATTTTTGCTTCCATTATTACTTTTAAGAGGAGCAACATCATAAAAATGCCAAAGGAAACAATATTGTAATTTCTCCAAACTCAGGGAAGATTTTTTAATCTTTCTTTCTTTCTTTTTGAGGAATGATCTCACTATGTAGTTTAAGCTAGCTTTGAACTCACTCTGTAGCCATGGCTAGTCTCAAACTCCCGCCTCAGCCTCTCGAGTGCTGGGATTACAGGCGTGCACCACATCCCAGGCCGCCAGATGCTTTTTTTATTTTTCTGCGGTACCGGAGATCGAACTCTCGACCTTGCGCTTGCCAGGCAGGCGCTTATGCCACCGAGCTAAATCCCCGGCCATGCCAGATACTTTTTAAAAAAATACTGTTTTTGGCGCAACGCATTCGGGACCCCTCCTGTCCCTCAGGAGCTATTCCTATTCCCCGTTCTTATTATCCAATACGTTTTCCTATTCTAAATAGAATAAATAAATAAAACTCCCTGTCAATATTGGGGATCGAACTCAGGATCTTCACACTGAGCTGTATCTTCAGTCCCTTTTTATTTTGAACCAGTCCGATTAGGTGGCTAAACTGCCCACATTGGGCTCGAATCTGCTATCTTCCTCTTCAGCCTCCGGGAGTGTTACAGGTGCTCGCCACCCCTTCAGGTGGAAGATGCTTTCTGAGATAAATTCTTTTTATATCTTTTGTAAGACCCGTGACAAATTACCTCACAGCTGTACAGATACGCTATCTTGGGGACAATCGAACTGTTTCCTGACTCAAATCGTAGACTGACAGACCGGAAAATAAATAAATATTTAAAAGGAAACATCTGCAATCTTTCCTCCTCTTCCAACACTGTGTCAAGCTCTTTTCTGAGACGCGCCCGGCCGCCTCCGCACACGCACCGAAGTCATTTAGCCTCGACCCTCTCGCGCCCCCTCCCCGCGCGGAGCCGCTGTCACTAGAGGGACAGCGCCGGCTCCTCCAGCGGCCCCCTCCCGCTCCCGGAGCCCGCCCGCCTCCTGGAACCCGCCGCTCACCCGCACCGGCCCGCGGCGCGCCCCGCAAGAGCGGGGTGCTGTCCGCGCCGTCTTCGCCGTCGCTCGCGGCCAGACCGGAGGCTGAGGGCCGCATGTCACCTCTACAGGGGGAACACGCTCACCCGAGACTGCGGCCGGGAAGCCTCGGCCTGGCGGAGCCGCCAAGACCGCCCCGCCTGGCACCGCCCCCAGGCCACGTCGCAGCCTCAGCCCCGCCCCCAAGAGACCGCGTCGACTCCGCCCCCGCCATTTTAGATTTGGGCAGGGGAGGCGAAGTCTTCCAATCCCGCCTCTTCAGGCCGCCGCCCGTGGGTTCTTGGGATTGTCTTCTCTCAGACGGCGGGTGGTGGGAGGCGCGAGGCGGTCTGCGGGGCTGGGGCGGGAGCCAGGGAGGGACAGCCTGGGCTCGAAAATTGTCATAACTCTAAGCGACCTTTGTGTGGTCTGCCCCGTGAGTGGCTTTTGAGGTGGAAGCAGGAATGCAATGCCCGTGTGGCTTTCTTAAATCAGGACAATCCGAAAACAGACTCGCGCTGTCACTACAGTGCCCATGGCAGCTGGACAGAGGGAAGCCCGGGCGTGGTTCCCGGAGCGGGAGGAGCGCGCGGCCCGCGGGAGGGCGCCGGGGGCGGGGCTTCGCCAGCAGTGTCTGGGGGCAGGGGGGCGACGCGCGACCCACCCAAGGGGATGCGGTCCTCGCGCTGGGACCTGCATACCTACGAGGGTGTGAGAGACTGCTCGGCGGCGCGGTGGGCGCGTGGATCCGAGCTGCGCGTAGTGGCGATGGGGAATGTTTTGTGTCACCTATTTTGCTTAAACCCATAAAGCTGTTTGCATAGTGGGGTGGGCCTCGTTCAATCAGTGGAATGTCTGACCAGAACAAAAACAAACTTCTCACCCCTTCTCCTCCCACCCCAGATAATGGGATCCGCCAGCAGACAGGTCTCCTGTTTCACCTTCCCTGTCTGCTACCCCAGCCCCAAGGCTTCTGTACCCCTCAAATAGGTCTGCAACCAGCACCTCTGCACTTCCCATTGCGCCTGTCTCTTGAGAGTCTGACGCGTTCGAGGTGGGCCTGAGATTTGCTAGCAAGGTACCAGGTGACGACCCTACTAAATAGCGTGGTCATAAAGGACTGCGGGGGTGGGAGGCTTAGCTTCCTTAATGGTTCTCCCCATTCCTTGCTCCGGCTGGCTCAAGGGCAGGCGTGGGGCCCAGGAATAAAGACTCATCAGCCTTGGAAGATTTTGAAATAGTCAGAGGCCCGGGAATAAAGACTCATCAGCCTTGGAAGATTTTGAAATAGACGGAGTATTTGTTCTTATGTGGTTTTCACTTTAGAAGTTCTAGGTTTATAGTTGCAAACAGTATAAAATCCAGATTCTTCGGCACAGAGCACAAGCCCCAGTGCACATTTTCAACCTCATCTTCTACCCCTGTCACCTCCTCTGTTTTACACACTGCTTGTGGAGGCTGGTACACATCGTGTTTCCCTTGGATTCTTCCCATCATGTGCTGCTGCTTTTGTGTGTGGTGAGTTTATCCTTGGAGGCGGAAATGTCATCTTCTACTTAATGATTCCTTGGTAATCTCTCCCTTACTCTTAAGGATGTTACACATGCCTTTCTTTAAGCACATTGTATGAATTATCTAAGATGGTTTAGTGACCAGTGAGTCATTCTTTGAGAGCAAGAAACTTGACTTAGCTTCCAATCCCAGCTGTAAGCAGAGAGAATAAATATTTATGGGGCTTCAGGTTATGTGTCATGCACTGTCCTGGTTGCTATGATGGTAGGAGCAAGCTATAAACATGGTTTCTGCTTTTAGGGAGCTTCTCAACAAAATGTTCTTTGGAAATATTTAATACTGTCCAATGGAACTATAAAATATTTCCCTAACACTTACGGAAGCTAGAGGACATATTTTTATCGTTATTTTCTAAAGAGGAAATGTATGAATAATATATTCCAAGGGAATAGTGATAATATTTTTTAGGAAACAGTTTAAAAAATGGATAGTCTGGAATGGATAGTCTAGTTTTCCATTTCCTGTTTCTTTTAGGCAGTTGTATTCAGCTGGTGTTCTCAGACAATGATCAAGTAAAAACAAGATGGAAAATGTGCAGTTTTCTATCATATTTATATGATAGCATGTATTCATTTTCATAGGAGAGTTTGAATTTTTCTCTGCTTTACAACTGAACAACTGGAAAATTCTTGTGTGCAATTCTTGCGACATACAGACATGTGAGTTTTATAACCATTTTAAAGGAAGAACTAACACGTGAAAGTTGAATGATGTAATTTGTCCAAGGGTCTGTAGGAGTTACTATTAAAATTCAGATGTGTTGCCTTTCTTAATATTCAAATCCAAGTGTGGTACTCCTTCATCACTCTCTTATTTTTTTTTAATTTTAAAGAGCATAAAGCCAAGGAAAATAAAACAATAAAACCAATCAAAACAAACCAGTGTAAGTAATACAGGACTTCAGAACATTTGAAATCAACAAGTTACCATAATGCCTTTTGTTGTCTTCAAAATAGCTTCAGATACCTTCAGACACAGTAAAAATCAAACAATAGAATAGAAACAATAAAAGTAAAACAACAAATGCAATAAACGACTTCCAAACGAGACAGTAGTAAATCAAAAATGACTACCATAAGCTGGGCGTGGTGGCTCACTCCTGTAATCCCAGCACTCGGGAGGCTGAGGCAGGAGGATCGTCGAGAGTTCGAGACCAGCCTGGTACAAAGTGAACTCAAGGCCAGCCTGAATTGCATAGTGAGACCTCATCTCAAAAAAGACAAAAAAAAAAAAAAAAAAAAAAAAAAAAAAGACTACCATAATGTATCTTGCTATCTTTGAAATAGCTGCTAATGCCATGGGATTTAACATAATCAAACAAAACAAAAGAATAAAACCCAACCAACAAAACAATGTATACGATAGAGGACTTCAAAATAAGACCATAGGGAATCAACAATGGCTACAATACTCAGAAGGAGATCCTCTCTATGCCACACTGCATACCACTATCCTCTGAACAAATAGAGACTTTTTTTTTAACGGTTACTGGCAATTGAACTCACAACCATGCACTCGCAAAGCAGGTGCTTATGCCACTGAATTAAATCCCCAGCCCCAAACAGATGGTCAGACTACCAGCCCTAGATCTACAAGGTCAGTGAAACTTGCAAAGCACCACAGGAATCCAATTGTCTTTTACCTTGATAGCTATCATCACAGCCTGTGTTTGTCCATATCAGCTGGTTGCTTATAGGGTGTTGTGTGTGTGGGATTGGTACTTCTTGTTCTAGTCTGTGTGCCAGAAGGGGCTTGGGTCTGGCTGTCCTGCTCTAGCAGTAGCCCTTTCGTGGCACTGGTTCCCAGGCAGGGCTGGTTTCCTGGTGTGGCCTTGTTCTCTCCCCACTGCAGTCCATGAATGGTGCTGACTCACGGGGAAACATTCCCTTCATTTTTATACCTTGTATGTTACCATTGCAGCTTAACACCATTGAGTACAATTTCATTTAGCCTCAGGAGTTATTTTAATGGTAAATGTATAATAGGTGAGGTTTTTAGTTGCTGTCCAATGGAACTTTAAAATATTTCCTAACACTTATAAAAGCTAGAGGACATATTTTATTGCTATTTTATGTGGCATTTTCTTCATCAGTTTCATTTACTTGATGGGGGAAAACTGGAAAAGTAGCCATATTAAAATAAAAATGGTATGAGGTTGCCTCTGTGAAAAGCCTGACATATGCTTATATATAAAATCTAAATGCACTGAAAAATTTAAGAATACATGTTTTTATTCCTTTAGGACATTTAAAAAATTTATTTATTTGTTGTAGTCAGAGGTTGTAGACAGAGAACAATTCAGATCAGGACATGGAGTTTATAATATTTTTATAATAGTCACTGGAAGTTAACACGGGAAAATGCAGGAAATTATCCACAACAAAGACATAAATTATTTAGTCAAGAGCCTAAACCCCACGGCAATGTCCCACATGAGTCCAGATAAAAACCCAGAGCTCAGAACAATGCCTCCCATGAGTCCAACTGGAGGTTCAGAGCCCACAAGAAGGACTCACGCCAATCTCTTTTACGGATCCGTGCCGGGAAGATGCAAGGGTCAGCGGTGGAAGCCAGAAAGTCTATGCCAGCAGGATGAAGGAGCTGTGCTAGTGGGATGAGGGTTTTACACTGGAGCTGAGAAGTCACACTCACAAAAAAGAGCGGGGCTGTCCTGAAAGGCACCAAAGCTGTCCTCAGCTACACCGAGGCCCCGCCCAAGCTCCTCCGAAGACAAGCACAGTCAGGTAGGTGCCAGGAAGCAGCGTGACGAGTTCATCCTGGAGAGCAGGCAGCACATGTCTTCCCCTCCGGAGCTGGAAGCCATGCTCGATGTGAGGACCAAAGCTTCTCCAGGAGAACCAACAGCTCAGACAGCAACTCATAGGAGAACCCACAATGCCTCCTTAACGCCTCAATCCCTCTCAACACCTCCCTTCTTGTCTGCCTATTTATCCTGGCAACCCTCCTCAGGTGGAGCAGCTTCACTCAATGCTTGCTGATGTAATCCAGCTGGCGTTAAGTTGACCACCAGTTCTCAAACCATAACATTATTGGTACTGGAGATTTACCTCATGACTTCACACTTGCCAGGCCGGTGTTTATACCAATGAACTAACTTCCCAGCCCAATTTAGGGGGGTTTGAGTAAACTTTACCACGAGTACAGTGGGTTGGTTTTTTTTTTTTTGCTTGTTTGTTTTTCGGTACCAGAAATTGAACTCAGGACATTGTGCTTGCCAGGCAGGTGCTGTGCCACTTACCTATATGCCCAGCCCAAACACACTGTAGTTTTCTTTTACTTATTTCATCTGCTGATGGGCATTTTGGTTTTCATATGTTAGGTATTGCAAATAATGCTGCAATGAACATAAGGCAACTGGTGTCTCTTTGAGAGATTCTTCTTTCTTTTTTTGCTTTTGAATCAGGTGCTCCCTGTGTAGTTGCAGCTGGCCTTGAACTCATACTTCTCCTGTCTTGGCTCCCTGAGTGCTGGGATTACTGCTATGTGCCAGTGTGCCCGGCTCAAGATCATGATTTCAGTTAGTGTTCATACACTCAGATGTGAATTTATTGGATCATGTTAGTTCTATTTTTAA